AGTGGTTTGCTGCATGAAATTCACTTTTACCACAGAATCAGTTCAATTACATAGAATCACAGTTGTTGGATGCCAGTATGCAATTCATGATGTTTCTGGCCTGTTTTAAGCGTTTCAAGTGGTTTGCTGCATGAATTTCACTTTTACCACAGAATCAGTTCAATTACATAGAATCACAGTTGTTGGATGCCAGTATGCAATTCATGATGTTTCTGGCCTGTTTTAAGCGTTTCAAGTGGTTTGCTGCATGAATTTCACTTTTACAACAGAATCAGTTCAAATACATAGAATCACAGTTGTTGGATGCCAGTATGCAATTCATGATGTTTCTGGCCTGTTTTAAGCGTTTCAAGTGGTTTGCTGCATGAATTTCACTTTTACAACAGAATCAGTTCAAATACATAGAATCACAGTTGTTGGATAGCCAGTATGCAATTCATGATGTTTCTGGCCTGTTTTAGCGTTTCAAGTGGTTTGCTGCATGAAATTCACTTTTACAACAGAATCAGTTCAAATACATAGAATCACAGTTGGCTTGATGCCAGTATGCAATTCATGATGTTTCTGGCCTGTTTTGAGCGTTTCAAGTGGTTTGCTGCATGAATTTCACTTTTACAACAGAATCAGTTCAAATACATAGAATCACAGTTGTTGGATGCCAGTATGCAATTCATGATGTTTCTGGCCTGTTTTAAGCGTTTCAAGTGGTTTGCTGCATGAATTTCACTTTTACAACAGAATCCAGTTCAAATACATAGAATCACAGTTGGTTGGATGCTAGTATGCAATTCATGATGTTTCTGGCCTGTTTTAAGCGTTTCAAGTGGTTTGCTGCATGAATTCACTTTTACAACAGAATCAGTTCAAATACATAGAATCTCAGTTGTTGGATGCCAGTATGCAATTCATGATGTTTCTGGCCTGTTTTAAGCGTTTCAAGTGGTTTGCTGCATGAAATTCACTTTTACAACAGAATCAGTTCAAATACATAGAATCACAGTTGTTGGATGCCAGTATGCAATTCATGATGTTTCTGGCCTGTTTTAAGCGTTTCAAGTGGTTTGCTGCATGAATTTCACTTTTACAACAGAATCAGTTCAAATACATAGAATCACAGTTGTTGGATGCCAGTATGCAATTCATGATGTTTCTGGCCTGTTTTAAGCGTTTCAAGTGGTTTGCTGCATGAAATTCACTTTTACAACAGAATCAGTTCAAATACATAGAATCACAGTTGTTGGATGCCAGTATGCAATTCATGATGTTTCTGGCCTGTTTTAAGCGTTTCAAGTGGTTTGCTGCATGAATTTCACTTTTACAACAGAATCAGTTCAATTACATAGAATCACAGTTGTTGGATGCCAGTATGCAATTCATGATGTTTCTGGCCTGTTTTAAGCGTTTCAAGTGGTTTGCTGCATGAAATTCACTTTACACAGAATCAGTTCAAATACATAGAATCACAGTTGTTGATGCAGTATGCAATTCATGATGTTTTGCTGTTTTAGCGTTTCAAGTGGTTTGTGCGATCCTTTACACAGAATCGTTCAACATAGAATCACGTGTTGGATGCAGTGCATCATGATGTTTTGGCCTGTTTAACGTTTAATGGTTTGCGATGAATTTCACTTTCAAACTTCACATAAGAATCACAGTTGTTGGATGCCAGTATGCAATTCATGATGTTTCTGGCCTGTTTTAAGCGTTTCAAGTGGTTTGCTGCATGAATTTCACTTTTACAACAGAATCAGTTCAAATACATAGAATCACAGTTGTTGGATGCCAGTATGCAATTCATGATGTTTCTGGCCTGTTTTAAGCGTTTCAAGTGGTTTGCTGCATGAATTTCACTTTTACAACAGAATCAGTTCAAATACATAGAATCACAGTTGTTGGATGCCAGTATGCAATTCATGATGTTTCTGGCCTGTTTTAAGCGTTTCAAGTGGTTTGCTGCATGAAATTCACTTTTACCACAGAATCAGTTCAATTACATAGAATCACAGTTGTTGGATGCCAGTATGCAATTCATGATGTTTCTGGCCTGTTTTAAGCGTTTCAAGTGGTTTGCTGCATGAATTTCACTTTTACAACAGAATCAGTTCAATACATAGAATCACAGTTGTTGGATGCCAGTATGCAATTCATGATGTTTCTGGCCTGTTTTAAGCGTTTCAAGTGGTTTGCTGCATGAATTTCACTTTTACAACAGAATCAGTTCAAATACATAGAATCACAGTTGTTGGATGCCAGTATGCAATTCATGATGTTTCTGGCCTGTTTTAAGCGTTTCAAGTGGTTTGCTGCATGAATTTCACTTTTACAACAGAATCAGTTCAAATACATAGAATCACAGTTGTTGGATGCCAGTATGCAATTCATGATGTTTCTGGCCTGTTTTAAGCGTTTCAAGTGGTTTGCTGCATGAATTTCACTTTTACAACAGAATCAGTTCAAATACATAGAATCACAGTTGTTGGATGCCAGTATGCAATTCATGATGTTTCTGGCCTGTTTTAAGCGTTTCAAGTGGTTTGCTGCATGAAATTCACTTTTACCACAGAATCAGTTCAATTACATAGAATCACAGTTGTTGGATGCCAGTATGCAATTCATGATGTTTCTGGCCTGTTTTAAGCGTTTCAAGTGGTTTGCTGCATGAAAATCACTTTTACAACAGAATCAGTTCAATTACATAGAATCACAGTTGTTGGATGCCAGTATGCAATTCATGATGTTTCTGGCCTGTTTTAAGCGTTTCAAGTGGTTTGCTGCATGAATTTCACTTTTACAACAGAATCAGTTCAAATACATAGAATCACAGTTGTTGGATGCCAGTATGCAATTCATGATGTTTCTGGCCTGTTTTAAGCGTTTCAAGTGGTTTGCTGCATGAATTTCACTTTTACAACAGAATCAGTTCAAATACATAGAATCACAGTTGTTGGATGCCAGTATGCAATTCATGATGTTTCTGGCCTGTTTTAAGCGTTTCAAGTGGTTTGCTGCATGAATTTCACTTTTACAACAGAATCAGTTCAAATACATAGAATCACAGTTGTTGGATGCCAGTATGCAATTCATGATGTTTCTGGCCTGTTTTAAGCGTTTCAAGTGGTTTGCTGCATGAATTTCACTTTTACAACAGAATCAGTTCAAATACATAGAATCACAGTTGTTGGATGCCAGTATGCAATTCATGATGTTTCTGGCCTGTTTTAAGCGTTTCAAGTGGTTTGCTGCATGAATTTCACTTTTACAACAGAATCAGTTCAAATACATAGAATCACAGTTGTTGGATGCCAGTATGCAATTCATGATGTTTCTGGCCTGTTTTAAGCGTTTCAAGTGGTTTGCTGCATGAAATTCACTTTTACAACAGAATCAGTTCAAATACATAGAATCACAGTTGTTGGATGCCAGTATGCAATTCATGATGTTTCTGGCCTGTTTTAAGCGTTTCAAGTGGTTTGCTGCATGAATTTCACTTTTACAACAGAATCAGTTCAAATACATAGAATCACAGTTGTTGGATGCCAGTATGCAATTCATGATGTTTCTGGCCTGTTTTAAGCGTTTCAAGTGGTTTGCTGCATGAAATTCACTTTTACCACAGAATCAGTTCAATTACATAGAATCACAGTTGTTGGATGCCAGTATGCAATTCATGATGTTTCTGGCCTGTTTTAAGCGTTTCAAGTGGTTTGCTGCATGAATTTCACTTTTACAACAGAATCAGTTCAATTACATAGAATCACAGTTGTTGGATGCCAGTATGCAATTCATGATGTTTCTGGCCTGTTTTAAGCGTTTCAAGTGGTTTGCTGCATGAAATTCACTTTTACCACAGAATCAGTTCAATTACATAGAATCACAGTTGTTGGATGCCAGTATGCAATTCATGATGT